ATCAACCTGCTCTTTCATGTCCAGGTGGCAAGTTACCTGGTCACAGAAGCAGATGAGGTTGCCTGCACCAAAGCCATGCTGGCTGTTATTCAGAATCTTACCTTCTGCAAGCTTATTGGAGAGTCCTTGATTCTACTGTAATAGTAGGAAGACGATTATTCCTACCGTGCTCATCCTGTACGCTATCTGGTGTTGTTTTCCCCTTAGTCCAGTGAAAGATGGAAGCAAAGTAGTCATTCAGGAATTCAGCTTTCTCCTGGGTGCTGGCAGCCAGCTCTTCTGAGTTGTTGAGCAATGACCCCACACTCCTATTTGTTTTCCTCATGTTCGCTGTGTACCTAAAGAAGAACTTCTTGTTGTCCTTGATTCCCGTTGCTAATCTAAGTTTGGTCGCCGCTTTAGCCTGTCTTATCTGTTCCTTGCAAATGTGGGCTATTGTGGAATAGTCCTCCTTGGGGCCCACCCCAAGCTTCCATTGTTTATAAGCCTCTTTCTTCTTTCTTAAGAGGACTGTGATTTCCCCATTTAGCCAAGAGGGCTTCCGAGCTCTTCTGTAACCTTTCCTCTCCATGGAAATGGACTTCCTTTGTGCTTCAAGGATCGCATCTTTAAGGAACAACCACTCTTCATGCACATCTTTTGCCTTCAGTCCCTGGTCCTGCAGCACTTGCTCTACTAGTGACCTAAACTTGTTGAAAATTGCATTTTTGAAGTCCAAGACTTCAATCCTGCTATATCTAATTTGTCTACCTTATGTCGGACAGTGAACATGATGGTTTCATGGTCGCTGTCACCCAGACTTCCCTCTATATTTAAGAAGGTCACCAGGTCATCTCCTTTGGCCAGGACCAAGTCTAGCAGAGTGCCACCTCTGGTTGGCCCATGCACCTCCTGAGTCGGGAATAGCTCCTCGACACAGATCAGGAAGGATCGCGACTGATCCAACTTGTCCGAGTGTTCCTCCCAGAAGATGTCTGGATAACTGAAATTGTCCATGATGACCATGTCACATGCGTGTGCAGCCTCAGTCAATTCTTGGGTGAAATCGAGATCAAGTTCCTCCTCCTGGTTTGGTGGTCTGTAGTATACACCTACAGTTAGGTTTCTCTTACTGTGTGTCCACACCTCCTCCCCACATCTTGACCCAGAGAGGGTTTCAAGCTGTCCATTTTTAGAGCCGATGTCAGCCTCCAAGGAGGTGTGCTGCTCTTTCACATAGAGAGCAACACCTCCTCCCTTCTTCCCCACCCAGTCCCTTCTATGCAGGGTGTAGCCCTCTACAGCTACACTCCAGTTGTGTGAGGAGTCCCACCAGGTCTCCATAGTCCCTACTAGATCATAATACACAATGAAGAGTAGGAGGTCTAGCTCCTCCTGCTTGCTCCTCATGCTCCTGGTGTTAGTATATAGGCTCTCAAAGTATAGTAAAAGTTCTCAAAGCTTTACTCATCACAGCTGTTTCACATGTGTATGCACGTCAAGGTTCTAGCAGGGACTTTAGGTATCATTATGGAATTACACAAGGGTAGAAGCTGCAGCAAACGAATACCTACTGGACTGGAGGTCCTAGCTTTCCCATCAGATTCCAGATTCCTCCATGAATTGTATTCCTTGTTTTACATCCTTTCAGGTTAACTCTCCCAAGCAATGGGGCTCCCATACCACTTCCCTTGGGGCCAACTGGCTCCCAGCATAAAGTACCTCGTAGCAAAGAAATTAACATTAAACATCAGGGGAAAAGGGTGCACCCTCTCAAAATATAATCCTTCAATTGTGACCGAAGTTCAGTAACTACTTTGTATTTTAAAGTGTTGTCTGTTACACACATCACAAGAATTAAAATCAATGGGGAATACAAACAAAAACAGTAAGATTATTAAAAAGAAGGACTTAATATCTTCGTTTCCTCCACTCCTTTTACCTCAACAGCCAACTGATAATATTCTGCTTCCAAAAGCCGATTTCTTAGTCTTGTTACAGCTGCTGGCTGCAGAATCTGATCCAGAGATGGGACAGGGCGATAGGCAGCAGCAACCAAAATATTCAGCACATCCACCTTGCTGATGTAACTATTAGGAAGGAGAAAAGCAAGCAGAAACTGAATGAGCACATATACATTCAATGTGCTTTCACGCTCTAACAAAACTAAACAAGTATCTCTTGGGCCTCGTAGGCACCAAGACATCTTTTACAATGGTGGTTCTCAATCACTGGTACTTCCAAGTTTCACACTAGCCTTTCAGATTAATCTTCATAAATTAATGCACTGTCTTAGACTCCTTTTACTGCTGCTGCTACCCGCTTCTCACTTGAATGTACAGGTTAGTGCATTCCTCAGTGCAGCTCATAAACAAGAAATGAAGACAGAAAAGATCTGAGTCTAATTTTGAGGATTATTTATTCAGCAGGTTGGAAGCCATATATTCTAATTCTCGCTGTATTCCTCGATGTGAAGCTCTAGAAAGGAATAAGGTTCAAATTCCTGACACGTTCCACTGTAAAACTTTATACTAAACACATCGCTAAAACCAACAAAACATACCAAAAAGATCCCCAACAGCAGAGGTATCAAATTTGAAGAGTCAGTGCAAACAGCTCTACTCAGAATCCAGTTTTCTCAATAACTTTTCTGAATACATGTAGCCTTTAGGAACACTAAACAGCACCTCTTCTTAACACTGCTTGACTGCCTCTTTAAAAAGATACACAAGACTAAAGGTCTTGACAAGACTCTTGCGAGTCCCAAAGGACAACTATCACTTTACCTGTCACACACAGCTAGATCCTGGCTCCTTCCAGCTTTGACAAACATCATCTTGGCACTGAAAAGCAGTTGTTTCATGATGTCCATGAGAAGCCCGGCATCCACTTCAGGGTTAATCAGACCACGGGACAATCTGCAGCAGTGCTCTATAAGCTGGTGGCCACATGCTATGCTATCACAGTGTAGACTGAGGATGGCAATACACAAGGAAGAACTAGGAGCCTGACAATTAAGAGGGAAAGAAAGACTACAAAGCTTTTGAAAGACGCACTGAAACCGTATTTACTGACATTTTTTGAGGAAACTACATTGGACTCCTCTTTCCCTCTTCCTCTCTCACCTGTTCATAATAAAATTCACTGCGCACAATTTTATTCTCTTCTTCATTCAGAGAAAGCAGCCACTCAAGTTCAGTTGCCTTTGGTATTCGCATCACTGCAGAGTAACCCAAGCATTCATTACTAGGCATTCCTGCTGGTGAGAATGAGCAATCCGTTAAATCAGAATAGCACAAAGGGCAGCAAATGTGGCTGAAAACACCATGAAAAGTTCTTTTGTATATAAAAGAAAAGTTCTTTTGTATAAAATAGCTACTTGTGCTCTTCTTAGTAAACAACTGCTCAAAGTCAATGGGATAAAGCAATCTCATGCACTGCATTCAGCATGCACACCGAACCAGAGACATTTCTTCTTCAAAATATATTCTCCTGTTGTTTCAAGATGCAAACTGAGTCTAAATAACACCCACCCTCCAGCTAACAAAAACTCAGGTCCTTGAAATGAATTTTCAAATTGTTTGAACCTTTTTGTGCCTCTTAATGTCAAAATATATCCAACTTTTTCTCTGACCTTCTACAAGCTAAAATATTAATATTTACTGGTCAGAAAAGCGGAAGACAGAAATGAATTGGGAGCTTAAAAAGGGACACTGATGAACACATTGTAGGAGGTACTAAGAAAATTAGCAGTTAAATCATTTTTCAGATTTGGGTTGATGGATCTGCAAGCTAGCAAATTTCACTCCAAGACGAAGGTCTTTGTGAAGGGACAGTTACCTATATTTTTATGGGAAACTGCATTTTTGACTTGAAAAAGTTCTTAAAATGCCTTTCCATCTTTTTTTTCCAGGTAAAAGCTCGTGTCTTGTTTTTCCACACAAGATTTACAGTTTTCCACTATTTTCTCCCTTTCTGTTGAAATTTTTCCATGGGTTTTATTTCTTTCCATTATTTCAAATCCAGATCTAGTCCACTCCATTGTTTGGGACATGATTTTTTTAAAGCATCCAGAACCTGTTGTCCTAGACTAAAGCAAAACTGCTTGTTTGAAGGGTGAGACCAACACATTTTCAAAGGTGCAGCACTTCAAACCATAATGACTAAGAGTGTCTGCTGTAATCTATACATCTATAATCAGGGTGACCACACATCCGAAATTGGCTGGGACAGTCCCAGATTTCGGAGACCAGCCCCTGATCACCCTATCTATAATGGAAGGGCTTGGGAATTTCATGTGACATACAGCATTTGCTTGTAGCTTTTAACCTTAGTACTGTAACGCATGAGATATAATAGTACGGAAAAAAAAAGATACTGGGTCATTCCAATTACTAAATTGCCTTTTTGGTCCAAACTTGAATTCTGAACAGAGAATTATTCTGCTAACACTGAGAGCTAGAGCTAGACTATTCTCAGTGGTGGCACATGACAAAACAAGAAGCAATGGTCTCAATGGTCTTTGTAGCAAGGGAAGTTTAGGTTGGGTATTAGGAAAAACTCTCTCACTAGGAGGGTGGTAAAGCCCTGGAACAGGTTACACCTAGACAGAGAGGTGGAGGAATCTCCATCCTTGGAGGTTTTTAAGGTCTGGCTCAACAAAGCTCTGGCTGGAATAATCTAGTTGGGGATGGTCCTGCTTTGAGCTGGGGGGTGGACTAGATGACCTCCTAAGGTCTCCTTCCAACCCTAATTGTCTATGATTCTATGAACCGCTGTAAACAGACAAAAGCTGTCTGGCATCAGAAATCAATTTAAAATGCTTTGCTTGGATTCGCTGATTTGATAACTGACTGATAAAAGTGGAAAGATATTAAAAGTGACAACAGTGCTACCATCTTCCCATCACCCTTCTCTCCCCCGCACTTTAACACTCCTTTCCTAAAGACCCCACTCTCAACACAGTACAGGATTTTTACCCTCAAGATGGGAAAATGACAGAGACTTCATTATTCCTACTGATTAACAGACCAGACAGATACTATAGAGATGAAAGCAGTATAGAATATCAAAGATAAATAGAGAATTATGCCCAAACGGAACTAGGAGACAGGGCCAGATGTATATTAGGACAAACCAATTGCTTCAAAACAATAAAGTTAGCATTACTCTTCTAGAATCCTTTCCCATTTCATCTGAAAGCCTTGATTCCCTTGCTGCTGTTCTCTCTTGACAAATTTCACAGGAGGTATGTATGTCCAATGAGATAAAAGTACAGAAAATATCAGACAGACAGAAATGTGAAAGAGATGAGAGATGCAGCCACTAGAAGTATTATTTTAACTCTTTCAGTCTCTCTTTGCCTTTGTCAAGTCTCATATATGGTGTCTCATATACACTGCTCTTCACTAGATCTCTGCAACTCCTCTTGCTTATAGTAACAAGATCTGTTTTAAAACAGCAAAGTGCTTAAACAGTCTATTTTCTTTTCTAGGAGAGAGAACCACAGAAGAGGAGAAAATACCAACTGTTAAGCATTTCATGAGCTACGCGAGAAGTTTTATAACATTTAGGATTTAGGGAGAGTTTCAATGAGGGCCTTGTTACACATTAATTTTGGGTGACTCCTGAAATTCTCAATGGGTGATGGTAACTTAAACCCCTGGATTGTCCGCACATTAATACCTTTAAGTGGCTTAAAACACTCATTGTATGGCACAAAGTTATGCCACTCCAGGGCAGGATTCTCTCTGATCTGCACTACCCAGCTCCTGTTTCATTAAGGTGTGGCCACTCCCAACAGATATGCCAGCAAGCTGAAGGTGAGACTGCAAGATAGCACTAAGATGATCATCAGCATTTCTGCAGCTAACAGAGTAACAATGCCCTTACTATTTCCCAGTATTCCAGAGAGCCGCCCTGCTTTGTGGGTTTCTTTGATTATGATTGGAAACACTTTGCAGGACTGAAAATATGCCTGAAGTATGCCCCAAAGGGCTGGTTCTAATTTCTAAACCAGGCACCAAAAAGAAAAATACTTCAATCCTTGAAATGAGGTACTTTGAGATCTTTTGATGAAAATAGGTAACAAGTCTAAAGTGCTTCTAAAAGTATTTGTGATGTTGTGAGGACACCAGTATCTATTTATCTCCATTCTATGAAACAAGGGGGAAAAAAGAAGAAACTCTGAGGCACAACAAGTGTAAGTGACTTCTCATGGTCAGGTCACAGTGTTTAAGAGCTGGTCATGACACCCAGAAGCATAACCCTTCCCCCACCAATGGTTACTTGCGCACCCAATTCTGGCCTGATGGGTGAAAACAGCAAACATATTCTATAAACAGATAAATCTTTGGTTATGGAAGAGACTGCAACCTGACTCCAATACACCAGTTATCACTGGGTACATTTTAAAAAGAGAGACTACTGAATGCTAGTCTGGATTCTTACTTTCTGTTGAGTCCTGTTCTTCCTCTTTTGTGCTAAAAGAGAGACAGAGAAAAAAAACCTTTATATCCATCTGAACACATGGCAAAATGATTATTTTATTTTAAAAAAAGGAATTTAACATAGCTATCACTTCTACAGTCCTAGCCAAAAAACTATTTGATTAATCACTTCTCTCAGATTATAGTTTATAGAAAATAGGGACAGAGCCAAGTACATACTACAGTCCAGCAACACGAATCCTGGTAACTTTCTGTGGCAGAAGATCATCATGCCCACTGTATCAAAAGGGAACACATATTGAGCAGTTGGGAGACATCAGCACTGATCAATAGGAAACTCGCATTATGCCAAAGAGAAAAAGCATTTCAGACCTTAAAAAAAAAAATCAGAACTCTGGACCTCCAGGTTTGAGCTCTGTCCTGCTGGGATTATGCTGCTTCAGCCCAATGCAAGCTGCCAATGGTACAGACAGAAAAAATGCTCTTATTCCTTATTACACAATACTACCCTACCCTTAACTAACCTGCCCTGGAGAAGTACCCTTACATGAATAAAAAATTCAAACACTCATACAATGTCCCACACAGAACAAGATTAACATGAGAAGCTTCCGCTCAGTGCTTGCCTACAGTGCGACAGGGAGCTATTGATCTGCTCTGATAGTGCTGCAAGGTCTCTCAAATTTACACCATAACCTTTCACAGGCCTGTTTTTTTTTTTCTGATGTATCCTATCAAAGAACCGTAGAGTACTCCTGTCTCTCCAACTGACAGGCTGATAGTAGAGTGGAGGGGGCAAGGGGAGAGAAACGGAGGAGGGTCACTGTTCCTTACCTCTCCTAACTACACCCTACACTAGCTTATCTAGTCTGTGCAAAATGAGTTCAATGTCAATTGTCACCACACAAGTGACCGTGTCACATACCCACTGTCATAAACACCTTATATGCTTATTCAATGAAATCACTTCTGGAACATATAAAAATTGAATTAATCAATCCTTGGAAGCAGTCTTCATGGAGACAAAAATGAAAGTACCTTGGCAAAGTGTAGTGTAAATGCAGGAAGCCTGTACCATTACCACAAACAGAAATTTCTAGGGGATAAGAGGTGATCAGTTTCCTGGGCTGCCAATACAGCAGTTCCCATGTTACAAAATGAAGAAAGATATTGGGTACCTAGTGCTGGAAAATTCCAGCAGCTGAGTCCATATCACTAGGCTTCTGAAATAAGTTATCCAGCTAAAACACCATGAACCCAGACTGTTCATCTCTGAGAATTATGCTGAAATGCACACTCAGCTGAGGACACGTGCACAGAATTATACAGAATGTGCGCTCAAAGACTTACAGGCTTGTGTCTCTGACTAAGCCGCATGGATGCTCTTTGTTGTGGTAATTGTAGCACTGGTCACATACGCGAGCAGGGGTTTCTCTACAAGCTTCCACCACCATTTTTTTGGAAGAGCAAGAACTGCACACAAGCCTACCACAACGTCTGCAGTGATGGCGCCTATTAAACTGAGGCATAAGAAGCAATTATGATTAAGAACTGCAAAAATGTAATGCATTAGCAGCTGACATTTCCCTCCTTCACATGAGCAACCCCAGCTCATAAGTGAATGTATGCCATTAAAGACAACTAAGGACAGACAGCAAAATGGCTAGATGTTTTTAAACTTCAAGAATTCTGTTATGGTCTACCCAAGAACTATCTCCTCCCTGCTACATGCCCTATTTGATTTGGAAAAAGGAAAGGGGTGCATGCAGGAAACAAATAAAAACAAAACAAATACAAACAAACAAAAATCCCATACACAGTTGGACTATAGCTTTTTTAAATCTTCACACTATCTTCTAAATTAGAGTCTGAGGATGAAGTTCTGTAGACTGTGACTTGCTGATGTCATATAAACACTTATTCAGACTATATCACCAGCTGAAAAAAAATCATGCCCCATCTGAGCTCTAGAAGTAATTAGTATTTGATCCTTGCTCCTTACCATGGTAAAACGCTCAGTTTTACACACCATACATATCATTTCAGTTTCATCAGGTATCCACTGATGCTTTGGTGGTGGTTTCTCAGGTGGGACAAATTCTTGAGGGAACAGATTTCGCTGTAGGCTGGGACTTGAAGACTGGATGATGCCTTAAACAGACAAGACAACACACATGGGGAAATCAAATTTAAGCCACTTACTGGAACATTATAGTTGTATTGTTGTAGAACTTCGACAGTATTATAATGCACACAAATGAGACCTCCTTGCCTTTATAAAAGTTTGTTAATATACGTTCAAGAGATCTCAGGTAGGAGGCCACATCCCCTGCTACAGAGGAAGGCAAAGCCCCTCACAGTCTGTACCAATCTACCCATGGAGTAAAATTCCTTTCTGACTCCAAATATGGCAACTGATCTGACCCTGAGTGGAGGGGCAAGACCCTCTAGCCAGCAAACTCCAGCTTTAGTCCCAGCAGGAGCACTGGTGCACTCCAGTCAAAATCTCTAGCCTTGGCTGCAGCCAAGACCCAATGCCTCTGAGGAAGGCTTAAAAACACCTTGACATAGCAGAAAACAGGGAAAAGGCAACCAGCAAAACCCAGAAGTATGGGAAATACCCATAGTAGAACACAGGCACAGCTATGCTTAAATCATCTCTGATTAGTGGCTGTCCAACCTGTTATATTAACCCTTGGTCAGTGTATGCAGCCCACCGCCACTAGTTGGACAGCCTTGCCCTAGATGATGGAGGTTTGGTCTACGCTACAGATTTCTGCTAACAGAACAGAACACACTCATTCACAACCCCTCTGTGATGGCAGACTCCCTTCTTTCTGCTGGAAGGACACCACCAGCTTTCTGACCAAGAGGAGCCTTCTAGCACAACCCAGCAGGCAAAAGAAAGCATGTGCCCATGCTTTCTGCTGCCTGCCATGTCCCCTTTAACAGCTGATGCCTTCCAGGGTAGGCTGCACATGCTGCTGCTACAGTTGTAGTGCAGCCACTCAGGTGTCCAAGGCTGTTGGCACAGCTGTGACAGTCACAAGCCACATCAAGGTACCAAAAGCTATATGGATGTACACACTGTGGTAACTTCCCTGTGGCAGTTGATATCTGTTGGCAGAAGGTTTATAAATGCAAACAAGCCCTGAAAAAAAGCGTCACATTGACCTCCCAGGACACCAGTAGACACTGAAGAAGCTTTGCATAATCCTATATCACTCAGCTATATGTCCTGAACCTGGCACAGAGGGAACTCTCTCACGCTTGAAGTTGAAGTTCAGTCTCTACAGCTCATTTATTTTCAACACATCCTCATGGACCACGTGGTGCCAACTGTGCGAGTAGTCTGCAATGCTATGCATCAAGAACCCAAGAGGCATCTGTTTACCCCACAACTCACTTTACATGCACTAAAAAGCAGCTTTTAATTACTATTGACTTATGCTGAATTGGAAAAGAGAAGGAAGTTATCACTTAGAGGGGGTAGGATGCAGAATTAGGGCTGATGGGAGGACAAAATAGCATGAAAAAAACACAGAGGCACAGCGCAGTGCATCTTACCAGGACAACTAGCAGTGACTAATTCTGCTGATCCTGATTTAGATGAGGTCTCCGATTCTGACACCTGACTGAGACTCTCTTGGATGCGAATCACAGAATCTAGGGCAAAGGAAACAACAGATAAATACTAGGTCATGCGCTTTTCTAGCAACAGAAAGATTAGAGAATAATCTGTTCATAGCAATTGCATCAATGTGTTGGTAAAACACAGAATTACTTGCTGTGATGAGCTTCACACAACTTGCATAACAAATCAGACAATAAATGATTCCTTAAACTACAGAAAAATGAAATAAAAGGCTTTTACCACTAAGAGCCTTAAAACAGATAAAGGGTCTTTGGCACAGGGGCATTAAAAAAAATCCAGAACTAATATGACAGGTACCATCGTTCTCACTAATATTAGACTACAGTTAATCTGACTTCCACCAAACAAGCTGTTCATAAAGGTGATGAAAGGTAGATATAGAGGCTGCCTGATGTTGCATTTGTGCTGCTATCTGAGAATCCCTGAGGTAGCACAATACTCAATTGGGCTGCCACTACACACAGAAAAGTTATGGAAGGGTGCCCTGAACCTAAAATGGTTGCAAATCACCCAACTAATAGAACAGTGTGAGACTCCATTCGCCACTTGTTGTCAAGTGACTAAAAGGACCCAGAGATGCAGCTTTATTTTATTAAATGGAGTTCAGTGGTTAGATGGTGGTCTAAAACAGGCAGATGCTGTAAATACAACTCTGCTAACCAACCTCTCAACCTGTGGCACCCTCTGCTGTTCCAGTCAGAGATGTTTCATAGAAATGAGGGCTGGAAGGGACCTCAGAAGATCATTGAGTCCAGCCCCTTGCCCCAGGGGCAGGAAGTCAGCTGGGGTCACATGATCCCAGCAAGATAAACATCCAATTTTCTCCTGAAGGCATTCAGAGTAGGTGCTTGAACCACCTCTGATGGCAGGCTACTCCAGACCTTGGGGGCTCGGACAGTAAAGAAACTCTTCCTTATGTCCAGCCTGAAATGGTCTTGCAGAAGCTTATAACCGTTTGACCTTGTCATCCCTTGGGTTTCGAAGCAAAGAGAAATCAGTTGCATAGAACTTCACCTAAACTGGGCTTGGGTTTTTATCTTGTTTTGGAGGGGTGGGGAATATTCCCCTTAAGATGACTTCTGGTTTGATCTGTACTATCTGAGGGGAGGGGGAAGAAGGAGAGCTAGGGAATTAGACTGCTCTTTGGTTTTAGACTTCATGCCTGTCAGAACTGTCAGTGATTAAATGGCATGAGGCCTTGAGTGAAATAGTAAGTTGCCTTGATGAAAGAGAGAGGACCCATAAAGGAACTTTTCTAAGCTAAATAGAAATGGACGCAGCCACGTGCAAATTCATGGTGTGGGGTGCTCCTGGGGGTAAATCTGATACAAGCAAGCTTTTGCCCCTGCCTTCCCTTGTGGAATGAGAAACTCTGAAATATAATTACCTGATCTCTTTTCTTTTAAGGAGTAGGGGAAATCAAGGGCTTTCTCTGCATACTTGGAGAGTAAAGTATCAATATTCTCTACAGTGAAGCCAATCTCCTGCCCAACCAACAGCTGATGCAGTGTTTGCACAGCCACTGCTGCCCAGTCCACCTTCATGTTCATGAGGAGCTGCTCCAGCATGAGCAATGGCTTGGAGGACAGGTGCGAGTAGTTAACACGATAAGGCTCAGGAAGAGTCAGCAACACCTTGGGCACAAAAAAAGACACAGGGAGACCATTAAATCACACAACCAGAATCCAAGGTTTGGTCACTCCCATCCCCACCTGAACTAATTGGCTGGTTGATGTTTGAAAGAGATAGCTAGGGGTCAAGACAGAGTGGGGACTTTCAGATTCTGTTCCTGGTTGTCACAGCCTTTGGCAATTCACTTAATTACTTTCCTACTCTTTTCTTTTTTGAAAGAAATGTTTTAATCACATTTATAATCTGGTGATCTCACACAGCACCCAACTTCCACTTCATAAGATGATTGAGATGGGTAGAAAGGCAGAACTGTATCCTTACATCAAAAAAAGAGCTGACAAATAATTAGCTTAATCTGTAAAATTTCCATTTTTAGCTCCCACTGCTCCCAGAAGCTGGAAGGTGGGAGGGAAGAATTCTCAAAAAAAAAAAAAAAGAGGCCCCTTTTTAATACAACATCATGCCTTATAAAGGGTAATTTTGGCAAAGGAAATGGCCATGAAAGAAGTACCTGGCACTTCACTGAGCTCCAAAAATAAGTGTGCTAGTATAACATTAGAGGAAAGAACAATCACAGTTCAAATTACTTTTCTATTTGTTTCAATATCCATGTTTAAACTGGGGTAGAACAGCTGGTGGTTAGAGCAGGGGTACCAGAGATAGGAGTGTCAAGCTCTTTTTCCAGCTTGGACATGGATTGCATCTAACTTGCATTAAGACAGGTGGTCTGTGTGTGCCCACTTCCTGTATACAGAAAAAGGAATTGTAATTGCTCACCTCAAACAAAAATTCGCCATATTTAAGTGCTAAGGATTTTTGCCTAGGTAGCAGCTCCACATCTAGATTGTTTTGAGTGAACAGCTGTTTCAAAGAAAGGATGACTAATGCTTGCTCATTTTATCCCTTTACACTTTTCCTCTCAGAGCAAGAGACCCTCCTATACTTCTACCAAAGACAAAAACAGCCCCTACACACATGCCACACCTTGCTTCCCTCCCCCTTGATCTTCTACATTGTGATCTGTTCTGTTTTCCTGCAACCTTTTAGCCCCTAAGGCTGCTCTGTGGATGCTGGCAGTGACAATAGCCCCAGCATACAACAAATGCAAATGCAAAGGAGGTTAAAAGCCAACTTCCCACCCCACTGTTTGCCCCCATTTATCCTGTCATGACAGGGACTGAGAAATGAAATGAGGGCCTCCCACATGGTGGCAGAGATCTCTCCTGCCAGATCTATAATTAGGTGCTTGTAGAGCTGTGCGCTACTATAAAGGCAAAAATTCAATAACTTTGCTCACCTTTGATCCCATATAAAGTGCTTGGATTTCATTATGACGTGCAGTTGTCAGGTACTTGTAGAAGTGCGTAGTGAGGTAATCAGCTAAGAAATGAGAGGCTCCCAAGCTGGGGTGTTGGTCAAGAGACTGTTCGCTTATGGCAAGGCGAATTTCAGGGTCTTCTATTCTTTGTAAGAGCTAAAAAGCAAAAAAATGCAATAGGCAGCCTATCCTGACCATGCAGCTGGGGACCATCTGAGGTCTGTTGGCACACTGCCTCAGACTGAGCAGGATATTTACCTCTAAAGTTAGTCCCCCAAACATTTTATTTAACCTGCTACAATCTCTTAAGTACCTTAAGGTGATTTAGACCAGGGCTGTTCAACTTCTAAGCAGCTGGGAGCTGAACACCTTGCAGACTGCCTCAAGCCCAGCCATGGTCCCCTGGGCTACACACTGCATAGACACTCCCCACCTCACTCCCAACATGTAGCCCCCTGCCCCCCAGCCCTGCCAGTGCCCCTCACTCCTGACCCGCAGACCCCTGCCCCCCCAGCCCTGCTGCCTAAGCAGCTTCCGTGTTGTGCAGTCTCTCTCTCTCGACCCCTGACAGTCAGTCAGTCTTGAAGCAACCAGCTGGGAGAGCAGAGGAACAGCAAAAAGCTTAGACATTTGGTTCTTATTTTAAAAACCTGCCTGGACACAGCACAGGGGTCCAAAAAAAGAAGACATGTCTAGGAAAACTAGGACATATGATAACCATACCCCCCACCCCAAATGCTGCACTGTGCACCTGCCGCTTGGCTGCACTATGTGTTTGTGCATGCTCTTCCCCCTTTCACTGCTGCACTGTACACCTGCACAGGTGCTGCCCCCAATGCTGTACAGCACATCCACAACCTCCCACTGTGCACCCACATGCCTTGACTCACTATCAGCTCCCCTCAGTCATGCTCCACTGCTCTGCCCCACCTCCTGAACTGTTGCAGCCAGAGGGATGCGGGGCAGAGAGCAGGAGCAGCAGCAACCACAAACCCCGAAGGCCACAACATAACCCCTTGCAGGCTACATGTGGCCCACAGACCTCCAGTTGGACAGCCCTGTTTTAAACCATCCATGTATAGATCACCACTACCTAGATGCCCCATTCCACAATCCATGAGGAAGGACAAATAAGGATACACAGTTTTGTAATGAGTAATGCAAGTTAAACAAGGAATGAAGCCAGACTGATCAGTTTGTTGGCTAGTTTCACTTCCTAGTTCTTCTTCGCTAGCAACACAAGACTGTTCTAATGTGGTTTCCAGTGTTAAAATCAAAACTAAGAAATACCAATGTTTTAACTTAATTAGGAGAACCCACCCAGCTAATATTGCTTTGTTTGTTTAATATCCTTATTTTCTCATAAAATATAAATTTTCCCCATTTAATCTACTCAACAGAACTCTCATAAAAAAAAAAATCCAGAAAAATCCACATAATTTGAAGCAGGACACTCACAAAGCCCTCTTTGCTTTGCAATGGTCTAGTAGCCAACATGCAACATATGGGCAATATTTGGCTCATGTAATCGAGTCTCATAGTATTTGGTGTTTGTTTTAAGTCTGTAGAGCCTGGATGCTTGTGAGAATCTCAGCTGCCATTGAAATTGTTGAGAACCCTCATGGTTACAAAGAAGAAATGGAAAAAGATAACCCCGAAGTATCAAATGGTAATTAAACAAAACCTAAAATTCATTAAAATGTAAATAAATCAAATAAATTAACTTTAATAAATTTAAGTTCTTATAAGAGTCTGCCCCCCACCTTTTTTTTTTTTTTAAATACCTGTGCTTAACAATAGTGTAGTTCCACAGCAAGGCTCAAAACCGTCCTTAACACGGATGGCAAGACCAAGGTTCCCTGTAGGCAACGTTTCAAGTGGATTCAGCCAGGCTAGCTGTACCATACACTGGGTCCTGTTGTATATTGTAATGAAATAGGCAGTTCCTGTCTCCAATTACACAGCCAAAGCTCTGAGCAAACTGCCCAACTGAGGCCTCAAATAGCAGTTTGGGTACTCTAGTCCTCTAGTGACCTATCCGTTAAAGATAGTAAGGCAACTAGTTACCTGCCAAGATTTTTCCGTGTCTCCTATCTCCAGCAAGTGGAGGAGATGTTCTTGGTGAAGGCTAATCAAATGTTCCCTTGGAAGAGGGTACAGGCGACCCCATTTCTCACACAATTCATAATCCTATACAAGGAAAACAAAACTCAAACTTTCTTCATTATGGCTATGCATGCCCATGACATTCATTCCCATTAATTTTGCAAGAAAAATTCTGTAGCTTTACATTACTCCTCTTCCTCTAGCAGAGAAATAATTAGTGCTGGAGAAATAAAAAGATGCAGTTTTGCCAGAGCCCAATGCTACACTGAGGGGACCTTTGCAACCTGCCAATTAAGGCAAAGGGCTTTTGGATAAATACCTTTATACATATTCATAAGCACTACTGGGAGTTCCCATCCTGGTTGTTTATAGTTTCAGAAGGAAATATTCCACTGGATCCACAGAGTTGGTGCTGGTATGCTGCAGCTGTATTTTAAATTTTAAAAATCTAAGTAAAAAAATGTAAACTTAAGCTCCCTCTCTTTGCCTAGAAATTTCTTTTTGTTTTTTAGGTCTGTCATTCTCAGGAGATGCAAATGATTCTGCCACAACTAAAAACACCATACACCAAGCTCTGCTTCTCCTTAGAGAAAACAGCACATCACGCACATATACACATATCCCCACCCCCCAAGACCACAATCCTCCTCCAACTTCCAAAGCAGAAAGGAAGGAACGGGTTATTTTGGGAGAAAAATGTTTTAGGGTACTTGCTTTTCATTTAAATTCTTGCAGCAAGTAGTTCAGGTTCCACATTATTCAATTTATTAAAGGATCTATTCTAGGAACTTGAACTCTGTTGAAACATGCATCTAAATACATTGGCTGACAAAAAAAGAAGATATAGATCCAGCAGTAACATTTTGTAGCTTTCAGTAACACAGTGAACATAAAATTCCAAACCTTCGCCTCCAAAATAACACTCATGATAGCTTGGGGATCATCAGTACAGGCTTTTTTCAGGTCTTGCCAATCATGCCATGGAGGGACATCTTGCAAATTCAAAATCTAACAAAATAAAAGATTAGAGTGTGTATGCATATGTATCAATGGTATGGAAAAAACTTAAACCGCTGGATCTACACGGAGAGCTGAAATGATTGCATTGAGTTGTCCGAAGACAAGAAACAGTCAAAGGACTCATGAATTTTCATACCAAAAAGAAGCTAAGATGAATTGCCGAGCTCCATTATGAGCGGGCTAAGGGATTCTTCTCAGTCATCTGAATTAATTTGTCTGAGCTGATTGCTGACAGAATTCCAATATGCTGCATGGCATCAGTTAATGGGGTCTACATTATACCAGTTATGTCTTCATTGTGGTCGCTGTCATATAGAGTAGATGTAATCAAGCTAACGAGAGTACTGATAGTAGCGTAGCAAAAACAACAGGGAATTGTGTGTGGGCCAGTTACCAGAAGGGACTCATACATGTGATGGGGGTTTAACCCCAAGGTTTTATTTTATGTCCCCTAACTTGAAACAGTGGGTTTTTAATTGAAACCCACCATTTCAATTTTTCTGTCATATTACAGCAAGAGAGTGTGTGAGAGTGAGAGTGTGTCAGAGCCAGAGCCTTCCCACAGCCGGGGGGAGGCAGTAGGCCCTCGTCCTTTCCTCTGTGGTGGTGGAGCCCCCGCTGAGACTGCTAGCAGGCTGGGTGCTGCCCCATCTTGGAGGCAGCACATAGCCCAATCCAACTGTTCCCTGAGCCCACCAGCTGGAAGCCAGCCAGGTGCTGTTCCTTACATCAGTCTGAGGAACAGTTGGATCGGGTTACGTACTGCCTCTAAGCTGGGGCAGCACTCATGTGCCAGCAGCCCTGGGGAGTGCCACCGCTGCGGAGGGAAAGACCAGGGCCCCCTGCAGCTCAGGGGCTGCTTGGCCCACCAGCAGCTCACTCCCCCGGCCGTGAGAGAGATGGGCAGGCTCTGACAAAAAAAAAAAGGATTGGGCCCCCACGCTGCCTTCATGTTTGATCCTTCCCCCTCCCCAGTGGAGCTTGCCCGACTCCGCCACAGGCAGGGGACAAGCTGCTAGCAGGCCGAGCAGTTCCCAAGCTGCTGGAGGCCACGATCCTTTCCTCTGTGGCAGCAGTGTCCCCCTTGGGCCACCTGGCTGGGCTCCTAGTGGGTAGATGATGCTCCAGCTCAGAGGCAGCACCTGGATGGATTCAACTCTGCTGAGCCTGCCAGGTCCTCCAGCGCCCCATGCACTACTGCTGCCACCTAGAACTGCATGGAAACAAGCTGGCTTGCCCCGGGGCAGTGTGGGGAGTCAGCAGGAGGGAAGTTGCGTATGATGGAGGCTGGAAAAAGGTGGCAGGAATGGTGCACAGGGAGCTGGAAACCAAGGCAGGCTTGGGGAAGTGCAGACTTGGTGGACCTCCCATGCCCTATGCACCATCCCCACCACCTTCTCTGGCCCCCAGCTGCCCTTCTGTTGCCTCCCTATGCTGCTCCAGGGGCAAGTCAGTCCATTCCTGGGCAGTCCCACATAGTTGGAACAGTGCAGAGGGTGCTGGAAGCCTGGCAGGCTCGGGGAAGAGTTGGATCCAGCTGGGTGCTGCCTCCGAGCTGGGGCGACACCTGTCCACTAGCAGCCCAGGAGGCCCCACCACCATGGAGGGAAGGACCAGGGCCCCCTGCAGCTCAGGGGCTGCTTGGCCCACCAGCAGCTTGTCCCCAGCCATGGGAGAGGCAGGCAGGCCCCACAAAAAAACACCAAACAAACCACAGGGACCAGTCCCTTGCTGTTTTTACCTTCAGCAGGAGCCAGGCACCTGCTTAAGGTAGAAGTGGCAAGGGGCCTTATTCTCTTTTTCTGTGGAGCCTGCCTGCCTCTCCCACAGCCAGGGGACAAGCTGACAGCTGCATCGTTGCAATTTGCAACATCGCTAAGTTTAAACTACATCTAGATGTAGTTTAGTTTGTAATTTAAAACCCCCAAAACTGGCACATGTGTAGTGCATGATGCCATTAAGCCACATGAATTACATTTTTGTCACGGGTACACTGTGATGACCATCACATGTACAAGCGCTCAGAGATGTTAATCAGCTTCTCAAGGACGTTACAGTGTGCGCTAAGCTCTTCTCTGCCATGGATAGATTGCTACGGGTATCTAAGGTAATAAACCTAGAAGTACCTCAGGTGTGTTGTTGTGATGTACCTCTATGTACCAGACACGATCCAGGAATCTGGATGCCTCTAAAAATCTTAAACTGCAAAAACTATGATGGAAATTGTATGAGAATCCCCAGTACTCTGTTTATTTACAGGCTGGAAGAACACCATACTGAAAAAACTGGTTTCTCTTAGATGTTTAATTATTTTTAAACTCTTCAACTTTACCTAGAAACTGGAAGTACAGAAACATGTGCAAACAGAGAACAGAAAAGTTAACCAGATGTTCTGGTATGTTCCAAAAAAAGCTTGTCTGATTTTTGGATGAAAAAAGGAAGGAAAAAAAAGAAGAAAAAGAAGAAGAATCAGGGTAAACTACTTCATGTGTGGAAGGGAAACTAGAACTTTTTTTTTTTTTTTTTTT